TCTCCATTTTTTAATTTAAATTAGAAACAGGATTGTTTTACATGTCAATTCCAGTTCCCTCTCCCTCCTCTCCTCCTTTGCCCCCTAGTTACATATTTTTAAACATATATATCATTGTACTTTGCTCATGTCATATCCCCTTCCACATATATATAGAGACTGTAAGTCCAAAGACACATTCTTTTTTTCTTTCTTTCTTTTTTTTTCTTTTCTTTTTTTGAGACAGGGTTTCTGTGTATAACAAAACAGCTCTGGCTGTTCTGGATCTGGCTCTGTAGACCAGGCTGCCCTCAAACTCACAGAAATCCACCTGCCTCTGCCTTTAGAGTACTAGGATTAAAGCCAGGTCCCAACAGTGCTCAGCAAAATCTGCTTTCTTATAGAACCCTGGACCACCTGCTCAGAAGGCGGCCCCATCCAGAATGGGTTGGGTCCTCCACCACCAATCACTAATTTAAAAAATGCCCTACAGCTCAGTCTTAAGGAGAGGGCTTCTTAATTGAGGAGCTCTCCTCTCCAGCGAATCTAGCTTGTATCAAGTTGACATGAAACTCTCCAGCACAGTTGGCAACGTCAGACATCATCCTTGGCGCAGGAGGCAAGTACATCTAGAGGGAGACACCTGAGCTCAAGGACTGCACCCTGAAGCATACAGTACTGAGATCTTGTCTATGGTAAACACTGACCAAACAAATGCTTCTCAGCTTTTCACTTAAGCTTCCCAGACCTGGCAGACATTCGGTGTTTGGGAAGACGAAAGATGGCATGAGCACCCTGCAGGCTGTGGGTCGCTTTGTGTCCAGGAATGTCAAAACCAGAAAGAAGGTCACCATTGCCAGCGGTGGCCAATGGCAGCACTTCTCAGGCCCTGAGGGGATATGTGGTGTTTAATATGGGTATGGCCATGTCAAGAACCAAAGCCTCAGACCAAAGCCCTCCAAGCCAGATCAGAGAATGACAAAACCCTTCCTCTGGTCTTGGCATGAATGCTGGTGGTATGTGCAAAAACTATCAATGAAAGACAGCTTCCTCCTCTGGGGTGTTTACAGCCTGAGTCTGCCGAGACTGCTGGCCTACACTAACGCCTCCCTGAGCTGTGGCAATACATCAAGGAGTTTCTGGCTGTTGAGTAGTGGGTGTGCTTGGTACCACACGAGACTGTCCTTTCTTCATTCCCCCGATGCCCCCACTCAGTTGCACTGGATGTGGTAACTTTTGACTTGAGTTCATCTTAACCACCAGACCTCTCCTGTAGCTCAGGAGAGTGCCCTCCCTCCCATCTGCTGCCAATATCTTGCAACCTTTGCTCTGTGTTAATCTCAAAGACTCAAGGAGAAAGATCACTGACCCAAATCATCCCATGTCCAAACTCATTAAAGTAAGCTTTTTTTTTTTTTTAAATCCATGCACACAGGCTGCCTCCCCCTAAGATGGGGTTTGAAAGGTCAACATTGAGGAAGACAAAGTTTTTACAATTCTGTAGTAGGGGTTTCCAAATGGGGAATTTTGGAGGAGGACATAGTCACAAAGACCTCCTGAAACAAGACACCCAGCTGCCCAGCCACCCAGCCACCCAGCCAGCCACAAAAGAAGGAAAGAAAAGATTACAGAAATAGAGAAAGGTAAAGCACAGAGGCAAAAGGTAGGCAGGATAATTTAAGAAAACCTGGCTAGAAACAAGCCAAGCTAAGGTCGGGCATTTACAATTAAGAATTAAATCTTCATGAGTTATTATTTGGGAACTGGGTGGTGGGCCCCCAAAAGAGCCAAAAGAGTAAAGCAAAGCAAAGCAAAGCAAAACAAACAAACAAACCCAACAACAGACATGATTGCAAGGTGGTCAAAACAAGAAAGTCATAACAATTTTTTGAAACAAAGGTAGGGCTTCAAGATGGTTATAACCTTTTTAAAACAAAGACATGGTTACCATTTCCTGGAACAGAACCATTTGTAGTTAAGGTTCCAGTTGGGGCATAGCCCAATCTTTGAGACACAGAGGTTTAACCATAAACAGGAGTGAACTTAGTTTGCCTTTGCTACTAAGTCCAAGATGGAGGCACCTGGCTCTTCACCCACTGCAGTGACCACCGATCCTATTCCCCCTTCTGCTTTAAGTCCAGCTGCATTGCAGAACTCGGTTCATAGCTCTGAGTGAAAACTAAGTACAAAAAATATGCTTAGGGCAGTGTGGTCACATGGGTATATAAACAGGTGACATGACTCCTTCATGGTACGGTTAAGGGAAAGGTTTTTATTTTAAGTATGTGAGACAGAGAACACCCAGAGGCATCTGCAAGAGTCCAGAGCAGAGAAAGAAGTAGCCTGAGCATGGCCTGTGGACTGGACGTGGCCAGGGTTATCTGTGAGAGAAGAGAGAACAGCAGGGGATCCAAAGTAAGGAAAGCATAATGAGAGAAACAGGGGAGGGGGAGGAGGGAGGGCAGAGGCGGAGGAAGGGAGGGAGGGAGAGAGAGAGAGAGAGAGAGAGAGAGAGAGAGAGAGAGAGAGAGAGAGAGAGAGAGAAAGAGAACAGCAGAGTATTGCAGGGAGGGAAGCCTGAGCTGGAGGCAGTAGGGTAGAGGAGGAAGTGAGTGAGAAGGGCTAGGGTACCAGCATGGACTTTGAAATGTGTGTTGGATACCTCTGATGCTGAGGGAGACTGGAGGCCAGCATGAGATCTGAGATGCTGATAGCCAATAGGTCCCTTCTGCCAGAGGTAAGGGGAGCAACTCTTTTTGGTAGAGGGGAACCAGTTTCGCAAGTTCCCGAGGAATGCTGGCTTTTATTTAACTGCCAGAAATCCTCCCATAGTCTGGGTTGAGCCCATTTCTGGGTATTTGACTGCCTTTTGGAATATGGTGAACTGGAGTTTGGAACCTGATGATGACAACACCATAAATCCCATGTTGTCTTATTCTGCAAAGAAGGAGGGACATCACCCCAAACAATGTGTCATTTATCAACACCCTCCCAGACAGGAACGAGAAAAACAGTGACTCAGTCAGTACTAATTTGCCAGCCACAGGAGGGAGGAAGAGGAGAGAGTGTCTGCAGCCTCACCCCAAGGATGCACCACCACACTCCTGTGTTGTAGCTTGGAGACAGGCTGGGGCAGGAATGAGACTCATTACCCTTCTGGAAGCAAGGAGAAGGTTGGGTTCCTGAGTCAACTGACAGGGTGGTGGCTCCCTCTTCACCATCCACCAGGCCTTTCTGTCTCTCCTTCTCAGGGGTGGACTGTAAGGTGAGCTAGGGTCAGAGCAGTGGTGCTCCATGAGTGCTGTGGAGGTGACAAAGGTAAGTCCTAGCGGAGGCGGAGGCGTGTGCCCTGTGCCCTGCCTTTCAATCCTGTGTCCTCTGTGCCCCAGTGGAAAGGATGGGACCTGAGCAGATGGGACAAATTGGTATCTGGCTCTCCTTAAGGTTACCATAACGACTGTCCCTTTGGTACCCTGGAACCTGTATATGGCCTTTAGACTCAGAGTGACTAAAGGGAAAGGTTACTGCTGGTTGTGTTACTGGCTTGGCTTGGAGGCAGCTGCTTCACAGGCAAAAGGTGAGTGGGGTTGTTTATGTGTGATGTCCAGGAGAATCAGTTCACTAGGCTGGATAAATTATAAGTTTAGCATGATTAAAAACAAAACACTGGCCTGGTGGTGATGAGGCATGCCTTTAATTAATTGCCTGGGAGGCAGAGGCAAGAGGATCTCTGTGAGTTCAAGGCAAGCCTGGTCTACAAAATGAGTTCTAGGACATCCAGGGTTACACAGAGAAATCTGTCTTGAAAAATCCAAATACCAAAACCAAAACCAAAACAAAACTCCAAAAATAAAAACAAAACCCTACTCATGGCCAGACAGCGCCCTCTAGTGGCCTTGTCACTGCCCTTCACGCCAATGTCAACTGTCAACTGTCTTAAGAAGGAACTGACTGACTGGGGTGCCAGACTCCTCCTTCCTCCCCTTCCCTTCCTTCTGCATCTTGGGAATCAGGCAAGTGCTTTCTCACTGAGCTACACCCCAGCTCTGTGGTTAGCTTTAAATGATAGAATTTTTTTTAAAAAAAGATTTATTATGTATACAGTGTTCTGCCTGCATGTCAGCCTGCATGCCAGAAGAGGGCACCATACCTCATTACAGGTGGTTGTTACCCACCTTGTGGATGCTGGGAATTGAACCTGGATCCTCTGGAAGAGCAGCCAGTGCTCTTAACCTCTGAGCCATCTCTCCAGCCCTAAATGATAGAATTTTATCCTCTTATAGTTCTAACAGAAGCCCAAGATTAGTCTCTGACAGCCCTGCACTCTCAGTGATCTCCGGTGAATATCCCATTTACATTTCCATCCCTCTCTTCCCTTCCTTTCCTTTAAAAAATAATTTTCTTATACAGGCCTCAAATTTACTATGTAGCAAAGGGTGACCTTGTAGTTTTGACCCTCCTATGTCCACCTCCTGAGTGCTGGGATGACAGACATGGGCTACTGTACCCTATTTTGTGTGGTGTCAAGAATGGAACCCAGGGCTTCAAGAATGTTAAGTGGTCTACCAAATGAGCTGTACCCCAGACCCTGCTCTTTTGCCTTTTGTTTTTGTTTTGTTTTTGAGACAGGATAGAGTTGTCTGGCCTGGAACTCACTGTGTAGCCCAGGCTGGCCTTCAGTGATCCTCTCCCTGGCCTGGAACTCACTGTGTAGCCCAGGCTGGCCTGCAGTGATCCTCTCCCTGGCCTGGAACTCACTGTGTAGCCCAGGCTGGCCTTGACCTGCAGTGATCTACACTGCTCAGCTTCCTGATTTTTGGGATTAGAGGCATGCACTACCACACTGAAAGGTCTCTCAGATATGGGTTCCAGAGCCTGACTGAGTGGATTGCTAGGGTGTTGGGGATCCCCCTGGGGGTCTGCCATTCTCCTCTTATCTAAGGATGACCCCAGTCTGGAGACTAGGTGCTATTTCCTGGCTCCCTCCTCTGGACAAGGCCTGTATGCAAATATGTAAACTATCCGCCCATGGGGTGGGGGGGTGGGGGCGGCGTTGAGAGCATGGACTTTGATCTGAGTAACTTCCAGGGGCACTGCTGTGGTATTTAAGTCAACTCCCCGCTGAAATAAATAAACAGGCATTCTCCTTGCAAGAGTGACCGGCTGTCTTGTCTTTATTTACTCCTCAGGTTCCCTCTCCTGAACCTGTAAGGAGTTGTAACGCTGGTTGTTACACTGGGAATGAACACATTTAGTAGAAGAATGATTAACTCCATGGATAGACATACGGACAACAGCATGGCAGATGCACTGAGGAGAGTTCAGTGCCAGAAACAGAATGACAGAAGCTCCAAAGGGGAGTCAGACCCATGTGGCCGAGTTTGGGTCCTTTCTTGGAAAAAGTGAGCTTTAAGCCACATGCAAAGCCGTCTGATATACTGGCAGGAGGCAGAGAAGAGGGTGGCAGGCCAGATGTGTGGCCACTATCACCCTCTATGATGTAAACTCGCTTTTCCAGGTGAAAGATAATGGCACCTACAAGTCTTGGCTATAGGCTCATAGGCAATGCTCTCTCTCAGCAGGGTGGCTGGCTGTCAGAGTCTGTGAGAGCGGAAGGGCTGCCTGGACTGGATTCTAATGTTACATTGTTGCACATACCCGGCTCAGAGCATTCTTAATTTCTTTCTGTTGCTTGCAGTAGTCCTCAGGCCCTGGCGCTTTAAACTCCAACGTCCCTTCTTCAACACCTTTCTGCTTCTTATGTGGATACTGGTTGTTGAATTTAGGGCCTTCTCCAATCTAGTATGACTTTGTTGTTTCTCTGTGTTGTTTCTCTGTTGTTCTCTCTGGCTGTACTGACCAGACTAGCCTTGAACTCAGAGACCTGCCTGCCTTCTGCCTTTGCCTCCTGAGTGCTGGGATTAAAGGTGTGTACCAACTCCCCGCCCGCCTGGCTCAGACTACATTAGATGACTACATTAGAAGACTCCTCTTTGAAATGCAAAAATAACAGTTACACTGTGTGATGAAGCTGAGGGAAAGTGGCAGACTTTAGGGCTTGTGAGATGTCAGTTGGTTTAACTAAATAAAAATCCCAAAAAGTAATAAAATAAAAATAAAACCCAGACTGAACATTGTGGCCAGGCTGGGATCCAAAGACACAGTCATGGGGTCTTTGGCACAGGAGGTATGGCTGTCTGAGGTGGGTCACTGGGGGCCAGACTTTAAGGACAACAGACAAGTCCTGGTCCTCCTGGTTAGTGCCATTTGAGTAGCCGCATCGGTCAGATCCCCTGCTGTAGACTCACTGGCTCCAGCCACGATGCCTTTCTTACCATGGTGAACCTGGTTCCTCTTGAACCAGGAGCTCAAACGGTCGTGTCCCCCCCCCCCCCTTCTGTGAAGTATTTGGTTACAGTGAAGAACAAAGCAACAGATACTGAAACTTGGTGTCAGGAGTGGATTGTTACCGTGGTAAACCTGACTCGTGTGGAGCCAGGCTTTTGGAAGCCGTTTGTGAGGATGGAAGAATGGAGCTATGGGCTAAAGGAAACCTAGCATGCTGGAAGCAGAGACCAGCTGGCCCTTGTGGTGGGCGTGTGGAAGGCCAGGGTACTGATAGAGACATAGTGTTCCTAGAGGGGACAGGGACACTATTGGGAATTGTAACATTCATGTTACATCCAGGCAAAGAATTCTGTTTGTGTCCTGAAACTTTGAATGTGGCTGAATTCAACATTAATGGGCTAATGCTTTGGTGGAGGGCATTTCCTGACACCACACCATTTGGGCTGTAGTGTGGGTATTGCTCACTGTGTTTAGCCAGGTGTTTAGTAAGAATTCAGAGCAAAAGTATGACGGAAAGATAGGGAAGTGTGCGTCTGGATGTGGGTGTGGGCAAGGGGTTACAGTTCTAAAAAAGATTGGTGGCGCGACAGGGCAATACCATGTAGAGTTTCTCCATCCTGAACTCTTGCCATTTCAGGCTTAAGTGGAATTTGACTTCCATGATGAGGAATTCCATGGGAAATTACCAAACTCTATTCTAGGAACCAAGATGCCCCAGCTAACTTACCTTCTGCTAAATGGTTGGCACAAAGCCTCGCCTGGCAGCAGCTGACAGCTTATCTTACCCGCCGCTTAACTGCTTGCACAAGAGCACTGCTCCCAACAACTTAGCTGGTGGGAAGCCTCCTCCCCTCCAGCTGCTGAGCAAGAGAACAGGATGTGGATTTTACCTTTGAAAGCCCCCTGGTTTAAATGCTTGGGGATATATTTGGGTCCCAGGTACCTGAGTGTAGTCCCAGCCAATTGGAATGGGGACTTTTAGTTGGTGATAAACTATGCCTGAGTGACCATCTCTGGTGGGCTCCCTGTAACAGGGACACTAAAGAGAATACAAGCACAGGTTTAAACATGAAGACTCATTTGAAAACTTTTCATGTAAAAGCTCAGTCCAGGCAGGAGAGATGTCTCGGCTGGTGAAGGCACTTGAGTTCCATACCCTGGGCACACATAGTGGAAGGAAAGAAGACACTGTCCTCTGACCTGACAAGGGCTTGAAAGCACACACACACACACACACACACATACACACACACACACACACACACACACACACACACACACACACAAAGGTTATAATAATTTAAAAGATTTTCAAGAAGATGTCCTGAAAGACTCATGTCTGAGCACAGTGTGCCGCTGTAGGGGCTCCCATCTTATCAGGACCACCCAGGGAAGTATTTTCTCAGCTTAAGCTGCAGGTATGGTAAGTGGAGAAGGGTAGTTAACCTAATTCTCAGACTTGTGAAACCTCTTCCTGAGGAGCAAGTTCCTCTACCTGGCCACAGGCTTCACACTGTCGGTTTTCTCAGCATGAACTTCTTGGGGGAAAGTTCTAATTTTTTGGTGACCATTATAGTTATTATTATTTTGGTTTTTCAAGACCGGGTTTCTCTGTGTAGCCCTGGCTGTCCTGGAATTCACTCTGTAGACCAGGTTGACCTTCAACTCACAGAGATCCATCTGCCTCTGTCTCCCAACTGCTGGGATTAAAGGTGTGCACCACCACCACCCAGCTGGTGACCATTATTTTAATAATCGGATGGCCACAAGTGTCTCTTTACCAGATCTTCATTCCTGCCAGAATAGCTACACTCTGCATATATTCAGAGTCAAGTCTCAGGGTCAGAGCTGAACTGAACATCGTAGTTAACTTGAACAGCAGAAGCAAGGGTCAGGACCATAGACACTTACAGGAGAAGGGCTAGTCAGGGTTCAGATGGACAAACGGATGGCAGGACCAGATGTGTAAATAGGCAGACAGACAGGTGAAAATTTAGGTGGGCTGTGTCAGCAGTGGAGACCAATCTAACCTGAGGCTCTTCCTGGGACAGTTCCGAGTTTTCTAGCTGAGGTTCCTGTGACAGAGTCAACCTGAGGCAGTGGCGAGGCGGATATGATGACACCTTGACTGGGACTGCTTAGGTATGCATTTCTCAGGCCTTCTGTTTAAACCTAAAGCTCATGTTAGGACTGTGAAGATGGACTTTGGGGTCGATGGAGCCTTTTTTTCCCCCAGTGTACCATATTGAATAAATATTCTTTCTCTGCTTTTCGGTATCCACAGAGTCAGTGTTTTGAGACCATCACTACAGGGAGATGAGTTCATCCCACTACTGACTTGTGCAGTAAATCCACATCTTCACTATCTGCTGGTTTAAGCCACTGCCTGTTTTAGAGAGCACAGTTCCATGGCTGGTAGAGGGGAAGCTTTGGAGGAAAATGTCACCCAGCTTGCGGCATGGGGCTCCTTGTTTCCCTAGAATTGATTGTGACAGTGTTTTTCCTCGTTATGGTTTACCTTCCTGGCAGGTTCAGTGAACCTTGGTGATAGGTTAGAAAACAGTGTTTCACCCCTGAGCAAGTTTTTGCTTGGCTGACTTTGTTATTAAAAAAACAAACAAACAAAAAACAACTCACTTAGTGTTGTCCAAGAGTCATGAGCAGGTGCGATCAGCTAATGCAGGATTCCCTTGGGGGCGAGGTCCAGCCTGGGCTGAACAGGCACCATGTCTGTAAAATGGCATTTGTCATAAATGAGGCTATAAGATCTATACATGGGGCCCTTTCTTTCCAATCACTGCATTTTGATGAAATGGCTATGAGGTCTGTTTTTATTTAGCTTTCCTCCACTTTTTCTCTTCTTTCTTTTTTTCTTCCCTTTTCTTTTTGAGACAGGGTCTTACTTCATAGGCCTGACTGGCCTGTGACTCATTATGAAGCCAAGGCTGGCCTTGGGCTCACAGAGATTTGCCTGCCTAAGTCTCTGGAGTGTTGAGATTAAAGGCGTGTGCCACGTGGCTTTGATTTGACCCAAAGAATCTGTACTGGTGGTAGTCACAGGAGAGAGTGGTCCAGTCACAAGCAAAGATGACTTGAGAATTACAGCTGAGTTTTCAGTGGAAACTCTGAAATCCAGAAGGGCTTCGAAGGGTGTATTTTAAGTTCTGAGGATCACAGGTACCAGCCAGACCATGATGCCAAGGAAACCCGTCTACCTAAATAGAAGGACAAACAAAATTTTTCCACGATAGCAACTGGCTAAAAGAATATATGACCACTGACTTAGCCTTCCAGAGGGTGCTGGAAGGAATCTTGTGAACTGAGAACAGGAAAAAGCCAAGAGGATATAGGGCCAAAAATCAATGGTGTTAGGTGACCTTTAATGACAGTTGCTCATGTTGTGGGGATACCCCCCCCTGCACAGCATTATTTCACTCCTACTTCATAACTGTAATTTTGCTACTGTTACGAATCGTAACGTAAGCAGGATGTCTGATGTGGGACCGCTGCAGAGGTCATGACCCACAGGTTGGGAATCACTGATTTAAATTCACTGATTAATCACTGATTAAATTCAGTTCAGCAGTTTTTTCCATAGTCCAGTGTCTTTCTGCAGCTGTTTGTCCTTTGTCATTGGCATTAAGAAAGTTTAGTGTCAATAAAGCATTATGCAACCTATGTTTGGGGGGTTTTAACTTACCAGCTTGTCTATGGAGCATCTCCTTAAGCGTCCTGTTAGATCTTTCAACGACTGCTTATCTTGTGGGATTGTGTGGTATACCAGTGACATGCTTTAGGTTTAATATTTGAAGAATATTTTAGGAGGCGTGGTTACGGTGTCTTCCTACACCTCTCTACCTGTAGGTTAGCTTAGCTCCCAATTTCACCAGACGCTTCTTTGTGGCTAATGAAGGAACTCATAATTGGTCCAAGTGCAGATAATAGGTGTCTGTGGAAAGCTCGCTGACAAATAGGATACCTGTGTCACCCTCCCCACCAAGACTCAGGGGCCAGTAAGGTCGAGGAGGCAGAAAGAAGATCTTTAGAGCCACAGGTTGGGGGAAGCAGAGCAAATCAATGTCTCCTCAGCATGCCAGGACGACTGCAGCCATGAGCTCACGACATCCTCTGCGTCTGCCTGCACACAGACAGCCCGTGTTCCAGCACAGAGGTGGGGAGGGGAGCCACCAGCCCCCACCTTTAACTGAGAAGCTGTTGACGGGGGACGGCTTCTGGGGAGGAGAGTCATTTCTCTTTAAGGATGTGCCCCAGGTAGGCCAAGCGAGTTTGCAGCAGCAGCAGATGACATGAAGTTGGAAGGGGTTGGGAAATGGGGGTGACATCTGGAGGGAGTAAGAGGGAAGATCAGGGCGCGATTTTGATCAAACACATTGCAAGAGTGTAAGAAATTCCCAAAGAATTTATAAAAAATTCTTATTTAGTTTGAGCTATCATGTTAGCTCAACAAGTTAAAAACAGAAAAGGAGGTTACCAAAACACCTACACTTAAGGTTTTCTTCTAATGTCTATGCAAAGCTATGCATGTCTGTGCATATGTATAGTGCATGGACACATGTCTAACATAACACTCCACACACATGCACGATAAATGAGCACAGCTAAAGAATCGTTTAATGCATCTTGATTTTCATTCTTTATTTCCAACAATTTCATTTCATCTCCTCTAGGAAACCACAAAACTTCGTAGAATTAGAACTACAGCTCTGTGTCGCTTTTGGACAGGGTATGAAACCAGGGACTGTGGGGAGAGGGGAAGAGTTGAATTCACCATTGTTCTACTTTTTTCTCCTGAACAAACTGCCCATGAGGCCCCTCTGCATCTGGGGGCAAAAGGGCCAAGTACACGGGGGTCTCTGCCCCTTCTTCTGGACTCTTGGTGGCTTTTGGTCCTGCCATGTCTGTTCTCACCCACCCTGGGCAACAGGCATTGAGGAGGATCTTGTCATCTCTCCTCTGCTGGCTGAGTTTCCGGGCATGGATTCTGGACAGGACTGTCACCCCAATCTTGGACACCCCATAAGCACTATTAGGCCAGCCTTCCTTCTCATGCATTCCTTTCTTTGTGTCTTCCACAAACTTGTTCATGAGCCCCACCAGCTCCTCCTCTGTGATGGTGTCACTTCGAAACTTCTGCTGCAGCTCCGGGCTGCAGTTTTTCAGGGCATCAAGGCTCATGGTGCTTGACACATTCACCACTCTGCCTGAGACGCACAACAGAAATGATGAATTGCAAGTAGCAAGGGGTTTAGCATAGAAGATTCCCACTTGAGAGAACACCAACGGTGTGCCATCGAAGCAGAGCACACACAGCCAGTACCATGGTGGCAGAAGGCAAGGCTGAGGCAGATTGAGCAGGCAAGTGGCATTGGAAGGGGCTGCCCTGTGAGGTCTGTGAGCACAGCTTGGAGAAGTACTGGAATCTTCTAGGAGGGTAGGCTGGGACAGAGGATGGGAGTTTAAATTGTACACATATGCTTTTAAAGTGGCCATTTGTCTTTATTGGTGTCCCATGACACAGAGACAAGTCACCCACAGTTGACAGCACATGTCATTGATGCCTTCACTGACCCTTTTGTTGGCGACCGAGATGGGACTTCCCAGGTCTACTGTGGAAAAGAGTTCACACTAGTTACTTCTACCCATTTTATTTACTCTCTATAACTAAATGCCCCTGTGAAAAGAGGAGGGGACTAGCTGCAGCGTGATGGAAGCCCACAAACAAAGCCACCATAGAGAGGCTAGCCCACTGGGCAAATTATATGCCGCATTAGAAGAATTTATGATGAGAAATAGGTGCTAGTTTGTCACGTGCAGGTCGTTAGGAAGCTAAAATGAGCCTGGAGGAAAATAGAGTTGGATAATAGTAAGCCACATAAACCATGCTCAGGGCTGGGGCTATCCACTGAAGGCTGGGTGGGAAATAGCCAGACAGACAACACAGAAGGAAAGGAAAAGGGTCAGGAAGGTTTGCAACTGTGTCAATTGGCAGTAGAGAGTTTTATGTAGACCTGAGCTGGCTGACAATGGTGCAGGAGACTCAGGTGTGACACTGGGTTTCGACTCTGAGGTGAGGACACTCTGAGGGATGAGCATGGTGATTCTCCCAAACTGGTTGGTTGCCAAGATGATTTATGGAGGGAGTGTGTGATCAGGAGGCAGACAGGCAAGGGATGGATGGGTGTCAGGAGAAGGGAATTTTGGGAGTGCTCAAGGAAGGTGGGAGAATTTTCTGGGTGTTGTGTCCAGTGGGTAGATGTTGGTGAAAGCTCTGCCAGTGGGCCTTGGGCATACATGAGGCAAGTGGACTTTTGAACCAAGACTTGAGGGAGGAAAACAAAGCAGGTATAGAAATCCTGACATCACAGTGAGTGTCAGTGGGGGCTGGAGAAACAATGGTAGGATGGAGGCTCACCAAGCATGTCTGTGCTGCTGCAGCTGGAGTGAGAGAGGCTGAGCCTGGAAAGAGATGCCAGCCCCAGGCAGGCAGACCCCAGGAGGGCAGACCCCAGGAGGGCAGACCCCAGGCAGAAAGACCCCAGGAGGGCAGAGCAGATCACCCACCAGGCTCACCTTGGGGTTTTATTAGAGGGAGTAGCTCCATGCAGACAGCTCGGGTACCCAAAAAGTTTGTTTTCATTGCTGCTTCTGCTTGAATGTGGAATTGGGTAGGGTCAGTGCCTTGTAGGGGAGAAAGAGAACAGAAATGCAGAGGAGTCAATAGTCAGAACTTGAGGCAATGGCAGACTTTCAGGCTAGGTAAGTCCTACCGTGGCCGTTCGAATGGGGAGGGTCCCACAGGAATTGGGTCCATTTGGGAAGGACTATGAGGTGTGGCCTTGTTGGAATAGGTGTGTCCTTGGGGGTGGGCTTTGAGGTTTCAAAAGCTCACATCTGTAGTAGGGACTTCTTTGTTGGGGCTATCGGCCTCCCATAGTGACATGGAGACTTATCATTAATTATGAATGCTTGGCTGACAGCTTAGGCTTCTTTCTACCTGGTTCTTAAGACCTAAATTAACTCATTTCTATTTACTTTCGGCCCCTTGGCTTTGTTACCTCAACTCCATTGCCTATCCTGCTTGCTCTGCGTCTCTTGGCATCTCTGCCTTCTTCTTCCCAGCGTCTTCTCTGCCCTGAAAATACTGCTGAGCTATTGGCCATTTAGCTTTTTACTAGACCAAACAGAGTGACTCATCTTCACAGTGTACAAAGAGATTATTCCACAGCCGGGCGTTGGTGGCACACGCCTTTAATCCCAGCACTCGGGAGGCAGAGGCAGGCGGATCTCCGTGGGTTCGAGACCAGCCCGGGCTACAAGAGCTAGTTCTAGGACAGCCTCCAAAGCCACAGAGAAACCCTGTCTTGAAAAAAACCAAAAAAAAAAAAAGATTATTCCACAACACACAGCAGGTCCAGTCCCTCTCTCTCCCTGCTGTCTGCAGATCAGCATGTAAAGCTCTCAGTTCCTCCTCCAGCGCCACACCTGCCTGCTTCCCTCCATGGTGATCATGGGCCAGCCCTCTAAAATCCCAAGCAAGCTCTCAGTTAAATGCTTCCTTTTATAAGTTGCCTTGGTCATTCCATCTCTTCATAATAGGACAGTCACTAAGACACCTACCAATAAGGAATCATTGTGCCTCTGTTTGATGATCCTGTATTTTATCACATGACACCAATCCCGGTACTGAGAGGAAGGCATCCTACAAGGAGTCTCAGTGCAAAAGACCTCTCCCCCACCCCATTTCTTGCTTATTTCCAAATCAGTTAGAACTAAACCCAGCTGGCCTTAAGATCCAATCACAGACGTTGACTTGACATAAACTTGCAAAGGATCCCAGAGTCAAGCCAGATAACTGGTTAAGACTCTTAGAGTGAAAACTTCTAGGCTCTGGTATAGCAGGCTACTGAATTATAGGTATGCCATATCATGAAGATATTCCTAAGAATACTTTAAGTGCCAAAATTATCTCAGGTAAAATTGGTCCCTGGACCAGCCCTAAATTGCTATCCAGTGTTACCCTGTATTGTACTGTTTAAGGAACTGTCTAACTGTTTTCTCTATGCTTTTGTAAGCAATGCTTGTTTGCTGTGATGTCCAGAGCTGCCTTTCTTTATGCATTGTTTACCCTTGAAAAATGCAAGCCAACTGGCCTTTGGGTTTACTTCACACTAATCTTCTTGGGACAGTCTTGCTAGCATTTAATAAAGACTTCATTCAACTTGCTCAGACCTCTCAGCAATTTTTCTCTTCAGGCACCCTATAACACTGAAATATTCATTTTGTTCTTAAGCTCCCAACATATCTTGCTCCTCTGGAGGAACCTATGGAGACCTCCACAAACCAAGGGGCCCCACCCCATCCCCCTTCACTGTCAGGCCAAGAGCAGACAGACCTGGCTGGGCGCTCTTGAAGAAGTCTCTTTTTCTACTTGGTGGCTTATTCTTGGGCCAGGTGCCAATGCCGGCATTGTTGATCAGCACATCCAGACCCCCATACTCCTTGAGCAGAAAGTCGCGCAGGGCGCGGATGCTCTGCAGGTCGTCGATGTCCAGCTGATGGAAGCGGGGACTCAGGCCCTCTGCCTGCAGCTGCTGCACCGCTGCCCGGCCCCGGGCCTGGTTCCTGGCAGTGAGCACCACGTCCCCGGAGAACTTCCGACACAGGTCACGCGCAATAGCGAAGCCGATGCCCTTGTTAGCCCCTGTCACCAGAGCTACTACTTGGTTGCTAGATGACATAGCTGAGTGTACCGTGAGAGCACCTGCCAGAAGAACTAACTCAGCCGACTCCGGGCTACTAAGATGTTGGATTCAGAGTCTGTGTGAACATCCGGAGTGTTGTATGCCTGGGGACCTTCGGCCCAGAGCCCAGACTCTTAAGGAGTCTTGGGCACTCTCTTGGCACAACTCAGTGGAGCTTCAGGGCAAACAAGATGAGCCAGTCTGAGTCAGTGTTGGGTGAAGTGTCCATCTCACAGCAAGACATCTTAGCCTCCAAGTGGTGAGTGTAATCAGTGATGATCCATGCGTTGGCACTGCACATAGATTCGGTTTTATGATCGTGTACCACAAGAGAAATTGGGTAATTTTTATCATTTTTTTATTTGAATTAGAAACAAGATTGTTTTACATGACAATCCCAGTTCCCTTCTCCCTCCCGTCCTCCCCTAACACTGCCCCCAACTAAAACCCTACCTATCACAATCCTTTCTTCTATTCTTCCCCTGACTCAACCTTTCTGCTCCCTCATGACCTCTGCATCCCTCTCTTCTCCCCTTCTCATCCTCGCAGCTCCCTCCCCCCTCTTCCCGTGCTCTCAATTTGCTCAGGGGATCTCGACCCTTTCCCCTTCTCCAGGGGACCATGTATGTCTCTCTTAGGGTCCTCCTTGTTTTCTAGTTTCTCTGGCAGTGTCGATTGTAGGATGGTAATCCTTTACTCTATATCTAAAATCCACATATGAGTGAGTACATACCATGTTTGTCTTTTTGCGATTGGGTTATCTCGCTCAGAATGGTTTCTTCTAGTTCCATCCATTTTCCTGCAAATTTCAAGATTCCATTTTTTTTTTCCCGCCGAGCAGTACTCCATTGTATAAATGTACCACATTTTCTCTATCCATTCTTCAGTTGAGGGGCATCTAGGCTGCTTCCAGTTTCTGGCTATTACAAATAGTGCTGCTATGAACATGGTTGAACAGATGTCCTTGTTATATGAATGTGCTACTTTTGGGTATATGCCTAAGAGTGGAATTGCTGGTAGACTGATTTTCATTTTCTTGAGGAGTTTCCATACTGATTTCCAAAGTGGCTGCACAAGTTGGCACTCCCACCAGCAGTGGAGGAGTGTTCC